GGCTCTAACCCGTGAACCGTGAGATCATGACCTGAGCTGAAGTCTAACGCTTAGCTGACTGAGCCACCCAGGTGCCCCCGAATTAAAACTTTTTAAAATCAAAGGACACTATCAACAAAATGAGAAGGCAGCCCATGGAATAGGAGGAAATATTTACAAATCATATATCCTATAAGATATTAATATTCAAAATATATAAAGAACTCCTACAACTCAACAACAACAAAGAATCCCACAAGCAAAATACTTGAATAGCTATCTCTTCAAGGAAGATATATAGAGGGGCGCCTGGGTGTCTCAGTCGGTTGAGCGTCCAAACCTTCATTTCAGCTCAGGTCATGATCTCAGGCTCGTGGGTTTGAGCCCTGCGTCGGGTTCCAGGCTGAGTGTGAAGCCTGCTTAAGATTCTCTCTCTCTTTCTCTCTCCCACTCCCCTCTCCCCTCCTTGCACGCTCCCTCTCTTTCAAAAAAAAAATAAATAAATAGAAAGAAGATATACAGATAGGCTATAAGCACATGAAAAGATGCTCAACATCACTAATCGTTGGAGAAATGCAAATCAAAACCACAAAGAGATAACCACTTCGCACTCATTAGGACAGCAGACTATTATTATTTCTTTTAAAAAGGAAAGTAACAAGTGTTGGTCAGGATGTAGAGAAACTGGAACCCTTGTACGTTGCGGTTGGGAATGTAAAATAGTACAGCCACTTGAAAAAGTTTGATGGTTCCTTGAAAAGTTAAACTTGGAATTACCATATGATCCAGCAATTCCATTGTTAGATATGTACTCAAAAGAATTGAAAGCAAGAACTCAAATAGCTAACTTGTGTATCAGTGTTCATTGCAACATTATTGGAAACCAGCAAAGGTGGAAACAACCCAAACGTCCATCAACAGATGAATAAGAAAATGTAGTATATCCATACATTGGAATACTATTCAACTTTAAAAAAGAATGCAGTTCTTATACATGCTATGACATACATGAACTTTGAAAACATTATGCTAAGTGAAATCAGCCAGAAACAAAAGGAAAAATATTGTATGATTCCACTTATATGAGGTACCTAAAGACAAATTCATAGAGACAGAAACTAGAATAGAGGTTCCCAGGGGCTAGGAGAGGGGGAAATTGGGAATTATCATTTAATGGGTACAGAGTTTCTGTTTGGGACACAGTTTCTGTTTGAGAGTGGTATCGACTGTACAACATTGTGAATATACTTAATTCCATTGAATTATATGCTTAAAATTGGTTAAATTTTATGTGTATTTCACCACAATAAAAATAAAGCAGTTAGACCCCCGATTTCCCAATTCTGAGAAGCTAAATGAATGACTTCCCACCCGAGCAGAAGACTGGAGGTAAATCTGTGGAGGAAGCTAAAGAGAGGCCTTCTGGACTGGAAGGTACAAAACACAATTGAGGGCAGGACCACCATACCAAACAGGGAAATTTTGTGAACATTTTCATACTTCATGTTGAGCCCTCGGTTGTCTTTTCCCACTCACTTTCCGGGGCACCGACACCAGACAGACACCCTCCAGCAGGGAGATTGGAGGAATCACTCCACGGAGAGTCAGAGCAGTTCAAGAGATAAGAACTTAAAATACTGACATCATACTGTTCCATAACTGAACATCCCAGGCAGTCACCTATCACTAAAGCCCCTAGTTAATAAGTCCCACTATATGCACAGATTCATATTTTCCACTGCTAGATAAGGCAAGACAGTCAAATACCACTTGAATATTGAGGATGATCACCTACTAAGACAGAAACCAAAATAAACAGGAATAGGTATCTTGGAGGAAGCAGCAATTATACAAGAAGAAACTAACATGGGAACTGAAGTATATCGTTAATATCCTCAGAGACATAAGATATTGTACCATGATACAAGGCCAAGATGTTTTGTAAAAACAAACATTCAGAGGGCTCCGAGAAATTAAAAACATGACAGCAGAAGTGAAAAATAGAATTTAGAAAATAATATTGAGGAACTGTCCTAGAAAATAGTGTAAAAATAGACATATAGACAGGAAAAAATAGGTCAGAATAGTAGATGACAAATCAGGAGCTCTAACATACAAATGACAGGACTTCCAGAAGAACAGAGAAAACAAAGAAATTGCAAAAAATAATTCAACAAAAATTCCCTAAAATGAAGGATATGAATTTCTAGATTGATCTGTTGAGTGCCCAGCAAAATGGATGAAATTTATCCATATCAAGATGTATCGTCATGAAATTTGAGAATAATGAGAACAAAGAGAAGATACTCCAAGTTTCTAGAAGGAAAACACAAAAACAAACAAACAAAAAAAAAAAATTGGGCCTGTACCAGCGGTAAGGAATAGAATGGCAGCAGAATTCTCTATGGCAACATTAGATACCGGAAGACAATGACTTTAAAATTCTGAGGAAAAATGATTTCCAATCTAAAGTTCTTTACCCAGCCAAACTTCCACGTTAGTAGAGAGTAAAATAAAGACACTTTCAAACTGATAGGACTTGGACATTTTATCTTCCATATACGATTTCTCAAAATGCTACTGGGGCCAGACTTCGCCAAATAAGTGAGTAAACCAAGAATGAGAAAAGATGGGATACACAAAACAAGGAATCGAATGCAAGAGACAGCCAAAGGGAAATCCTTAGGCGGCAGCTGTGCAACTAGAGGTCTAGAGAGCAACCAGTCCAACCCTTTTTAAAAAAGATAAAATTGACAAAATTGCTCATGAATTGGAACATATTAAGAGAGTTTAGGAATCCATCAGTGATAAGGACATTAAAAAGCAAGAAAATTGAAAACAAGGGCAGTTATCAACTCCAGGAAGTTAAAACGCTATTCAGAAGGGAAAAGTCACCATAGTATTATTATATAGCTCAGCTGTGACTAGAGTTAACATAGTCATAGTAATACAAATGCTCTGGCCAAAATTTTGATTTATCTTTACTAGGGGTTTGAGGGAGCAGTGAATATATGGGAGGTGAGGAAAAGGAAAGAAAGATAAAGCCTTATTCTTTCAAAGTAGGAGATCAGCGTATGATACCTAAAACTGAAAAACCTAAAAGCATCAAAATAAACACTTGGTTACATGGTTGTAAATACTAAAGTGTCAGCCAAGAGACGTGAAAGTGGTTGCTTTGGGGATGAAATGGAGGCAGGTGGAGTCCCCTGCATTTGGTTATAAGTTTGTAGAACTATTCGACTCTGTAAAATAATGCACATTTACTCCTCATAAAATTAACACCACATCGTAATTTTATTTTTCAATGACTGCAAAAGCAAAACAAAAGCAACCTCATGCTCCAAATAAAGCTCTAGGTTTTCCCGTTTGCTACTCAAATCAAATGTCTTTGAATTTGATATTCTCATCTGTAAAAATAGTTACTATGTATAGATTGAAATAGACTGTGAATACAAAAGTGCTTGAAAACTACAAGAGTTGTTTAAAAACAACTTAGAGGGGCGCCTGGGTGGCTCAGTCGGTTGAGCGTCCGACTTCAGCTCAGGTCACGATCTCGCCGTCTGTGAGTTCGAGCCCCGCGTCGGGCTCTGGGCTGATGGCTCAGAGCCTGGAGCCTGCTTCCGATTCTGTGTCTCCCTCTCTCTCTGACCCTTCCCTGTTCATGCTCTCTCTCTGTCTCAAAAATAAATAAACGTTAAAAAAAAATAAAAACAACTTAGAATCCAAAAGTTTGGGATCCTCCACATGCATTTATTTGATCACATGTGTAGCAGGGAGCGAGACAGGATGAGCTCAACGCACGTGATACTAGCGACCTTACCCTGAACTCACCTGTCTAGTAACTGCTCCTACCCCTACCTGGAGTCCAGGGGGTGATATATTCTTTGGGCCTGTGACCTCGGACAATTTCCTTAGCTTTCCTGAATCTCAGTTTCCCTACCTGGGAATAGTAACGCTACTCCTGCGAAGTGGGAGTGAGAAACAAACGAAAGCCTAATGGAAAGTCCTTTGTTTTGGTGGGTAGGTAATCGATGCTCCCTAACTTCAGGGCCGCCCCGGGGGCGCGGGACACCTAGGGCCTTGGAGAAGCACGCTGAGAACTTCTGCAGCCGCGAGGATCCGCAGTCACTATGGCAACCGGAGACGCCCGGCGTTCCCTAGGTAGCGCGCGGAGGAGCGGAGAAGGCCGGGGGCAGCCGGCGAAGATCCCCGCGGCATGAGGCGGGAGGAAGCGGTGGCGGTGACCTCGGTGGCGGCGCCGGAGCCGGGCCGCGACGGGGAGCAGCCTCGGCCGCCGGCGGGACTGGGGTGCGGGGCGCGAGGGGAGCCCGGCGGCGGCGGACCCCAGGAGTCTTGCAAACAGCGTGAGTTCCCCTCCAGTCGCGCACCCGGCGCGGAGGGACGTGTGGCGTGCAGAACGCGTGAAATGGGGACTGGGGGGAAACCGCAGTGAGACTGGCTGGGGCCAGGAGGGTTTTGGAGGGAGGGGGCAGAGCTGCCGTTTCGGCAAAGGCAGGAGAGCTGATGGCACTGTGGTC